TGATTGATTGATTGATTGATTGATTGATTGATTGATTGATTGATTGATTGATTGATTGATTGATTGATTGATTGATTGATTGATTGATTGATTGATTGATTGATTGATTGATTGATTGATTGATTGATTGATTGATTGATTGATTGATTGATTGATTGATTGATTGATTGATTGATTGATTGATTGATTGACTGACTGACTGACTGACTGATTGATTGATTGATCATATAAATCTAAAATGAACGGCCATTTGAATTTTGATTGAATGTTATAGAAACCTGGCCAATAGATTGGTATGAGTTGATTACCTAACGGGTTGAATTATTTTAATTTTTTAATCCTCGAAATATTTTTCTCAACAAAATAACCTGACACAATCGCCCAAAAATAAATTTCAAATGTTGGCACTAAAACTGATACAAACAACTTTTACTAAATTTAAATGACATTAGAAACGCTTCAAATGTCATTCAACTGTTTGTTCTTCATTCAATTCTAACAACACCCCATCGCATGACACATGATGGCCAACAAATTTCTTTTACAGTTGGCGTTCGGTTTGAAAAAAAAAGAATTTGCTTATCTAAAATGCCCAACTTAATGAAATCTTCAGCTTTATCTCTGGGTGACTTTGATAAATTGCATCACGCCACATTCAGCTAGACTGGTATTTATTTTTAGTGACCGTATTAATGAAAGCACACAACGTTCACTTGGAGAGAGTGAGTACAAAATACAAAAAATAAGACACAAAAAAATACCAGCTTGTACAGAAGCGTACACAACAAGCACACTACGTATACTGAAATACTATGTACTACTACTGCTACAATTATTACTGTCCTAATACTTCTACTACTAATTCTACCGCTATGACTACTATATATTATTCTAGCATATTTATTCTTTTTGTCAAATTTATTATTTATAGAAACTTAAACAAGGAGGAAGTGTTTTTGCGGCTCTTCCAGCGTTACAATTCCGAAGTGAAACTTCAAAGCCGAGAGAAAAAAAATAGAACGATTTTTCTCCAAAAGGGACTTGCTAAGTTATAATTATATATCAGCATAATATATAAAAAGTTATTTTATCTCTTAACTAGCTACATTACATTTTTATATTTTAGAAAATTTAATTAAATTATTTTAATTAATTCTCGTTAGTGGACATTCTGTAGGTAATAAAAAATTACACAGACATACCTATAAGCGCACACTGTTCTATTTATCTATTGGTTGATTGATTGATTGATATGTTGGTTGGATAGTTGGTTGGTTGGATGGCTGGCTGGTTGGATAGTTGGTTGGATAGTTGATTGGTTGGATAGTTGGTTGGTTGGATAGTTGGTTGGTTGGATAATTGGTTGGTTGGTTGGATAGTTGGTTGGATGGTTGGTTGGTTGGATAGTTGTTTGGTTGGTTAGTTGGTTACTTGGTTGATAAACGGTTGATTGATTGATTGATTGTATAGTTGGTTAGTTGATTGGCTGGTTGGCTGATTGAGGAAACTAAAATTCATACGTTGAAATCAAAGATTAAAATTAGTTTTAAAAATAATTTAATTTCCGTTCACGTAATGAAAGAAAGTGCTGTTAAATGCAATGCAATGTCACATCTTAGAATAGGAGATACCTGCTCTCTACATATCAAATTATGTGGAGAGCTATTTCTTCCCAGTAAAATGACATTTTTCAAATTTATGACAAAAACTATGTTATTAAAACTAATAAATGACCCACACACGCATACACGCACACACATACACACACACACAGACACACACACACACTAACATACATACAAAACTTAAAACCGCATACAACTAAACTGAAAACACAAACACACATAGGCTTACAAAGAACCACGCACCACACACACACACACACACACACACACACACACACACACAACTCACACACACAACTCACACACACAACTCACACACACACACCGTCGCATGCACGCACACAATAAACTCCACATGAACCAAATAAAGTCTTTCGTAGTGGAAATAATACATCAAATAGTTCGCACGCTTGCTTACTGTGGAGAGAAAATTGTTGAATTATAAATTGAAAATGATAACGATGGTGATAATAATAATAATTATAATAAAAAAAAGAAGAAGAAAAAGAAAAAGAATGATGTTTAGGATGACAAAATGGATTTTTATCAAAAATTTTGAAACGTAATTGGTCGAATTATTTTTTACTGCCTGGTAAAATGTTTTAACGTTTGAAAATAACGAAAGATTAACAATCAATCAATTTGTTGATGATAAAGGAATGATGATGATGATGATGATAACGATAAAGATGGTGATGATGATAAAGATGGTGATGATGAGATGATGTAAAAAATGAAGATGATGAAATGACAGGGAAATAAAATGATGATTATGAAAACTACGGGAAAGTGATAAAGATGATGATATGATAAAAGTAATGATGAAAAAGAAGATGATGATGAAGAAAAAGAAGATGAAGATGATGAGGAGGAGGAGGAAGAAGAAGATGATGATGAAGAAAAAGTTGATGATGATGATAACGGAAAATAGGTTATTCCGTATGAGAAAATGGTCCGCATATAATGTGGCCTTCGTGCATTATTTATCTGGTCAGAACATTAAATTGACAGAATTAAACTCTTCGACCAGCCTACCTTACGTCTGCCTAATTTCCCAAATTTCCATTTTTATGGCTTTTCTCTGGAAGTAATATCAATTAATTATTATTATTATTATCCATCAACCTATTGTGACTTATCATCTATAGAATAAATAAATACTATTATTATTTTTATTACTATTATTGTTTTTGACATTTTTTTTGAAAGTAAAATTATTGTATAAGGCCGAACATTTTTCAGTTCATGCTTATCGAAAATTTGAAAAATAACAAAACAAATAAACAAAAATTTTCTCTTTTTGAAAGAAATCTGATATATAAATATCAAAATTTGCTAAAAGATTTGCTAAATCTGAAGCAAAATATGCGATCTGGAATGGAGAATTTGATATTTTGGAATAAGAAATTTGGATTTACCAAACTAAATTTGTACCATAGTTTGTTTTTAAAACGAATGAATGCTTCAAACAGAGTGACAAAAAGAAGTTACTGATAGATTCTGTTGGTGTTGCCACAGTTTTCTTGCTTTCAATTCCTTCCTTATAACAATTTTTTACCTCAAACTCAGTAATTTTCCTACTCTGATTAATAAAACTTTGAATCATTTTGACATATTGATGATCATTTGTCGTCAAAAGCTCGAGAGGCAAATACGAATTATGTCTTATTCATTGAACGATTAATCCATAAACAACTTAATTGTAACCACTAATTGATTAAACAATAAGTTAATTAATTAATTATTAAATTAAATTTTACTCATATAGCCGGAGGAAAGTTAAGATACTTCAACAGAGAAAATCTGAAGTGAGTTTTTTGAATTTTTTTTTGTCTTTTTAGAATGTTTTAGTAGTAATAGTAGTAGTAATATTAATAATAGTAATAACAATAAAATCAGTTGTGATAGTAACCTCAGAAGTAAAAATAATAATAATAATAATAGATGAAAAATTATCCACTCAAAATATTTGATAATTAATCCGTGAGAGAAAATCTTTTTTGCATCTGTAAGCCTACTTAGCGGCATTCATTCGTCAACATATTTACTTATTGGCGGGTTCAGTAGGGGAGGGGTATGGAGGTGGGGCTATAAGTAGAATCGCCACCCACACCAGACCAAGGAAAATAAAAATATTGAAGATTCTATGTAAAAAATATGGTAACAGAGTAAATGGAAGTTACCAAAAAAGTCATCAACTTGAGAATTTTGATAATCACCTCTCGAACTTTTGTCTCAATAGAAACTTTTTACCTTACTTTACTATGTCTTGAAATGACGAATTTTTGTTAATCTATAATCCGTTTCTAAAATAATCACACACGTGTGCTGTGTATGTGTAAGTAAATTTGCGTGTGTGTGTATGTGTGTGTGTGTACGTGTGTGTGTATGTGTGTGTAAGTGAGTGCGTGCCTGTGTGTCTAAGAATTTTTTTTTTATGTATATTTAAACAATTCCCGAAATTATTGTCTAACGGCCAATTCATCAGCGTTTCTGTACATTTAATTATTCAACAAGCGCTCGTTACATCATTGTTGTTAAGAGCCAGCGATGACGTCATCATCGTCGTCGTCGTCCTCTCCTGGTCTTCATCATCGTTATCTTGATTCTTATTGTCATTAATTGCAAATCTTCATTGGTCATCATCATCGTCATCATGCTATTAGCATCACTATTTTATTGTTTTAATTATTTGTTTTTATTATTATTATTATTATTATTATTATTATTATTATCACCAAAAATCCTATATAGTATTACTACGATCAAAAACATCTGTCATCATCATAAATATTGTCGTAACATCAAACATCTTCGCCGTCTTCATGACGTCATCTATAATTACGTCATCCCATTACGCCACATCACATTCTTCACGCATTGATTAACGCTGATGAAGCCGACAACATCACCACCACCACTGCCGCCACCACGCCAGCATCGCCACCACCGCCACTACTATTGCCACCACTGCCGCTAGCATCGCCACTACTGCCACTACCACATAATAACGCCATCATCATTGTCGTCGGCACGGCATATTAATCTTATTTAGTAATGATTGGAGTATGATTGAAAGCACATAAGCGCATTAAAATCATCGCCATTACCATCATCATTAACGTATTTTATTCATCATTAAATTAATGTCAGCGTCTTTTAAATCAATGTCATCATCTTTTTTGATACGGATAAATGCGATACCTAAATTCTATTGAGAACAACAACTGCACAACAACAATGAAAATACATCAGAAGGATAAAATGTTTATACATGCCATCAAATACAAACTTTTAAAACAACATTATTAACACAAACAATAACAATAACAACAACAAACACAACAAACACAACAAACACAACAACAACAATATATATCAACAATTGATTACAATCTCAGCCAACGTAGAAAACTCGTCATACTCACACCACACACACACACACACACACACACACACACACACACACACACACACACACACACACACACACACACACACATCCACACACACACACAGAAACGACAAAACATCAACAAAAACATCAACATCAAACAGCAGCATAATTAGCAACCAGCAAAACAACAACAAAAACGTCGGAATCTCCCTCTGTGGAACTTTGGATGACTACTGCCACCATGACCCGAAAATCAACAACGAGGCCCTACGGTGTTGCTCCGGGTTCAAATGTCACTGCCCCACCCTTCGTGGTTGGTGCACCTGCAAGAGGGAATCCTTTTTCGCCAGATGGCAATGATGGTAGGCCATTGTAATGGCCGTTTGGTTGGCTGATCGGAAGGAAATGCATGTTTTGATCGCTAGGGAGGAAAATTGTTTTTTGCTGGCTGTTTGGGCTTTGGATTGAACAAAGTAATTAAAATATTATTTGAAACGTTCGTTAAGTTAGCTGGTTTGAGGTGTTGTAGGATGAACTGTCATTTAAGTTTTTAGTATTTTTGAATGGAGATTATGATAGTGATGTTGTGTTGGATGGTGATGCTATGGTGGTAATAAAAATGATGAAAAAGACTACAGTAGCGAAAGTGATGCGATGAGAATGATGACATTAAATTTTATTGACACGAAGTTGTTAATCTCGTTTTGAGAGTTTAAAAATGAATTTTTTTTCAAATGTGAGAGTGATTTCAATTTTCATGAAGGATTATGAAATTATATAAGATGAAATATAATATAATAAAATAAAATAATGTCGATTATTTTAATTTTTATTGTTAATCAACATTTAATTAAACGATGATAATTTGGAATTAATTTTTTAAAAAGTGTTCATTTTAAATTTCTTCTCAATTAAAAAATTGAAATTAGAAAACCATCAGCCACAAAGTGACTTAATACGTTTAGTTGTCCAGTCTTTGCCGAGCAATAATAAAAAAATAAAATAAAATGGCCCAATGGTGTAACGGTAAAGTTTCCAGCAGAGCTATCGCAGTGACTGGATTCGACTGCAGGGATAACCCACCTATCGTACGCAGTGCGTGTTATCAGTGTAAGAATGTATGTGTAAGTGTTTGTTTGTGTTGCGCGTGTGTGTGCGGCTAAATAAAATTTGAATGAAGAAATTTGTAGTTAAATATGAAAAAGTCGAAAAGATTTATTTAAAAAGTATGGTAGAAGAGAGTTAGAGATTTGAAATTAAAGTAGAGAGAATTTATTGCAAAATGGGCGATCGATGCCGTCCACAGCATCCGGCCAAGCGGTCATCACACTGCTTAAAAGCAGGCGAGCCATTATGGCTCAACAAACATCGACTCGTTCTACATCTGACCCTGCTTGGATTTGAACCAGGGTCAGCACCTTCCACAACGAGCGCACCGCTTCTTGTTGAGCCAGCGCCCGTACGTCTGGATTAGTGTTATCGAAATATAAGGAATGCGCAAGTGCTAACAACAAGTGACTGTTTATTTATTTATTACTTAATGCAGCGTTTTAAGATACACTCGCTTGAGGAATGTTGAAACGTTTATCGGAATGCGAGTGAATAATTTTTAACAGTTGGGTGAACGGAGTGATTTTTTGTCCGCTTGCTTCCTGTCTTCTTCTAAATCAGTGTACGGTGGTGTTCACACGCAGAGCAAGGCACGCATGTACATGTATACATACATTCATATATACAATGTATGTATATATATATATATATATATATATATATGTGTGTGTGTGTGTGTGTGTGTGTGTGCGTGTGTATGTGTGATCAATTTTTAAAGATTAAACAGCGCATGTAAAGGGCAATTATGATATATATGATAGATTGTGCTAATAATAATAATAAACAAACATCTTTAATGAAAACAAAATATTTCAAGATTTAATTTTCGTACTATACTGATTAAGAATTAATCATTTACAAATATTAACCTATCTAACACGCGTGCAGACAGAAAGAAAGAGAAAGAAAAGTAAATGAAATAAAAAAAAGACAAAGAAAGAAAAATAGAGAAATAGAGAGAAACATAAAGTACAAAACTCAAAATATTCATCAAAACCATGGGTATCATGAACTTATGTTTCATTATTTAGACCGAATCAAGACGTATACCAGATGTTAGAAGAGTATTTAAACACCCTATGTATGTGTATTTAATTAATGTGTATATATATATATATATGTGTGTGTGTGTGTGTGTGTGTGTGTGTGTGTGCCAGCCAGGCGTGTATAATTAAAAGAGAAATAAAAGATATTTCATCGATTAATTAGCGTAAAGTCCAATGTATCAATTCAGTGTGCCTATGTAACCCGTGCTATAAGTCGATTGACTGTATCAAAGATTAATATTGTTTGAAATGCATGTCAAACATAGAATTTTTTTAACATTTGAACGTCAAACATTTACAATCTAAGCGTGTTGTAATTTTAGTATAATACTGCTGTAAATATTATATTATTATAAATATTATTATTTTAATAGTAGTAGTTTTAGTAGGAAGAGTGGTAGTAGTAGTTATAGTGGTAGTAGCAGTAGTAGTAGTAGCAGCAGCAGCAGTAGCAGTAGTGGTAGTAAGAGTAGAGTTTGTAAACTTCATTTTGCCATGCTGAGTATGTTAAGCATGAATGTAGCATTGCCTGTCCCAGCCCCAGCCAACCAATCCAGAGACTGACTGGCGCTTTATAAAATTTTGGGACTTTTGAATGTCATGTGGTTGATGTTAATTGATGAAAATATTTTCAAAGTTTTAAAGACGTGTATGATCTTTTTAACTTTATTAAAGAAAGAAATGGGTTTTAAATTATATTTATGTCAACCATTTAAACAAAAATATGTCAACAATATTCTTAGTTCAAAAATCAACTTCAAACACACACACACACACACACACACCATGTATATTTGTGCATGAATATGCATTTAAGAAGCGCATATATACACGCACATACATCACGCACACTTAAATACACACACACACAGACACGCACACAAGCACGGTCACGCAATATCAAAGAAGAATTAAGCTGATATCTACGTTGCGTATTACGATTCTTCATCCCTGCCTTACATAGAGAGAATGTATGAATATATTAAAAATAAACATTGATCTAAATGCCTGTGTGTGTTTGTGTGTGTTCCTTGATAAGATAAACAATTGGGAAACCTATATATATATATAAGGTAGGGAGATTTGCATTCCCCTAGCTTCAATCTGTTTAATCTTCATAGTTAGATGTTGTCTGTCTTCTATAAACACATGCAGATGCTAGCTGAAAATTGGCGAAAATAAACTTTTGTATTCGTGTTTAAAGTAAAATTTAGATAAATTAGAAAGGGGAATTATTCATTATTTGGTGAAAAATAATTAAAAAAATGATTTTCTGAAAAGATATAAGTAGCATAGCAACTTGGATATTGCTGGTTGTTGGATATAGTTGAAAAAATGTGGAAGAAGTGCAGTCATTTCGTCTTTGGTGAGTTGAGGTTTTTCCAGAAATTAACTTTTGGCTTCATATTTTTATTTTCTTGTTTTAACATTGGCAGTAATTAGGTTTGGCATTATTATGTAGGAATATTTAAATTAAACGGAGCCAATTTTATCAATGTTTTTTCGTATGTGTTGTATGTTTTTGTTTGCAGCGAATTACAATTAAATTTATTTGAAAATTAACTTAAACCATATTTATTTGAACATTATTTACAATAAATCATATTTATAAAATGAAAAATAATTTCAAATAATAAAAAAATAAATGAACAAGCAAAGAGTAGGAGTAATAATTTTGATCTGCGATGTATTGTAAGAAGCGGCTGGCATGTCCCATGTCACGAATGTCGCCTTTAAACTCTCAACGTTGTAGTGCAAAAGTCATTCGTTCTCTGGTGCATTCTTAAAATTTATTGAGTATTTTTATCAAATTCAAATTATTTTTTTTAGAAAATTTTAAGAAAATTATTTTTTTAAATATACGATTTTGAAAAATTAAAAAAATATGAAAAATTGTTTGCTGTTTGGAATGTTTGTTAATTTATTTGATTTGAATTCTGCAAGCAATCAAAGTGAAAACAAAAAAATGCAAATATGTTTCAACCAGAGGCAAAATGTAGGGATATCTAAAAATATATAAACGTACGGACAATTAACGAATGAAATTTATTTTCAAGTCAAGAGTGCAAGTGTTCAAGTCATCGAAATCATTTTGCACCCCGCTGATGTTTTTGTTAATGTTTGTTTATTTGCTGTCTATTTAGGACTATGTTTATATAGAATGGCCTCTCTCTCTCTCTCTCTCTCTCTCTCTCTCTCTCTCTCTCTCTATCTCTCTCTCTCTATTTGAACATTCCTTTATTAAGGATGGTTATGATTAAACTACGTTCTTATCAATTCAAGGCTGATGTGATTGTGTTTGTATTTTTTAAATTTTTTTAAGATAAATTTCTGAAAAAATAATTAGGCAACAAAATTTTTTTTATAACTTGTAGAATACGTAGCACCGCCAAAACCTAAGGACAGAACGACGGATATAAAACCAGCAGAAGACATCGTCAGACTAAAACCTCAAGAACCAACACCAGAGCCACAAATTACAACAACAACTTCACATGACCCACTTCGAGCGATTGACCTCATTTCAAAAGGTCAATATCCGCTTTTAGTGTCCGTGACAGCCGTTGGAGATAGTGATGGAGTGATGAGGAGTAGGTGGATGTTGTTGGTGCACTGCGCCGGTTACAGCTGGCTGAGCAACGCGATTCAATGCAGCGGACCTCAACTTGAGAAATACCTCTGCCGAGCTGACAGCGTTCTGAAATTAATTGAAGAAGATAGGAAGAAGTGCAAAGGTCGGTTAAGAATTCATTCAATTTTATTTTTATTATTTGTTGTTTATTGGTCAGAATATCATTTTGCTGTCAAGCGCTGTACAATCCAACAGTGCTGTTTTATATTTCTTGACGTTCATAACTGTGGATATTATTATTATTATTATTATTATTACTATCGTTATCTTCATCATCACCACCATCATCATAATCATAGCTATCATCACGATCGTTAGTAATTACCCCGTATCCACACAAATGCATTGTGCGTGCAACTGACTGACACTTCCAAACAATGTCGAAAGGTAGAAATTCTTATCGCAAAGTCAACTCATGATAGCATTGTTCAACATAGGTGCACAGACACGCAAACAAACTAAAACAAACTTGCACGTAGATGTAAACAAACATAGAAACATAGGCACAAACTCACACGAAGGCAAACACACCACTAAGCTCAGCTTTATGCGCAGTTGAAGTATCACCAATGAGATGATGTTCTTGGAAATGATGACAATGATGGCATTTTTATTAGAAACTAGAAAGCCAAACATCTCGCTAAACTTTGATCACCCACACATTTGATGTTTACGATGCGTTATTTTAATGCCAAAATTTAAATTTAGCATACTTAACAGGTATGTATATAGGTAAATTAAACCTACCACACACACACACACACACACACACACACACACACACACACACACACACACACACACACACACACACACAAACGCACACGTATGTACATTAGAATATTTTTGCTTACATACATCCACAGCAAGATGTGTATTTTAGAAAAAAACAGAAAAAATCAATACAAATAAACAAAAACAAACAAGAGCATGAACATGCAAACAAACAAACAAACATACACACATACATACATACAAACAAACACAACAAAATTCAACAAATTAAAATTTTAACAAATTAAGTTTTGTAACATTTCTTATGGGAGAGCTATGTAACATCGCATGCTGATATGAATAAACAAGCGTGCGATCTTTTTTACTATTATTATTATTATTTTATTATTATTATTTTATTATTAATATTATTTTATTATTAATATTATTATCTATTATTATTATTATAATTACCATTATAAACAGCCACACTAGCTCATGGGCGTTTACGTTGAAAATATGCATATTGTAATTGTTAAATGTTTTCCCCTTTGGATCGACACAAACACGCACACATTCACAATCACACACACGCACACACACACATATAAACACATACACTCACTTCACACACACACACAAGCACACATAAAAAACTTACATACATACTTTGGTTATAGTATGTAGTGACGACGAAGATAATAACAAAATAATAATAAGAGTTGCAAGATTATTATTATTATTTATTATTATTATTATTATTATTATAGACAGATACATTATGTAGAGTAGGATGTTTTAATTAATTTTTATTACATTTACCATGTGATGCTTGAATAAGTGTCCTCCAAATTCAACACACACACATTACGTAACGCATTATTAAACAAATAATTAACATTACACACACACGTACACAAATACACACACATACATACATACATACATACACACACACTTACATACTCACACACTTACAATACATACATGCATAAATACACACACACACACACAAACAAACACACACACACACACACACACACACACAGAGTCTTATTCGGTCTCCGCATATTCAACTTCATACATACATACATAAAGAAATACACACATACATACATACAAACAAACATACATACATACACGCACACATATTTGTAGCATGACATGTCCCTCAATTTTTTATTCGGAAAACAGTTCTATGATTTAAGTCTTGAGAAATTTTGAAATTTGGTGAATGAATGTAAAAACTCGCTTTTCAGTTCTATTTCTCTCTCCTTTCTCTCCTTTCTCTCTTTCTCTCTTTCTCTCTCTCTCTCCTTTCTCTCTCTCTCTTTTAATTCATTCTCTCTAATAGACCCTTTAAAAATATTTACACACATTTTTAATGTATAATCAACCAGACAAATACGAGCAATACAAACATTCTGGGTATAGCATATTAGCAATAAATTAACTTATATATAACAGTATGACAGTGTTACTCATTAGAGAATGTAAAAAGATAAACATATTGGTGTGTGAATCTATGTGTGTTTGTGTGTGTGTATATGTGAGTGTGCGTGTGTAGGATTGTGTATGTTTATGTGTGTATGTGTGCGTGTGTATGTATGTATGTATGTGTATGTGTGTGTATGAGTGTGTTTGTGTGCGCGCGTGTGTATGTGTATGTTTGTATGTGTGTGAGTATATTTGTGTGTGTGTGTGTGCTGTGTGTGTATGTGTAGGTATGTATGTGTATGTGTGTGTGAATTTTACAAAATTTGTATTGATTTAAAAAATGCCAAATATTCCGTCTATGCTTCCTGAAATAGATTCATTGTGAATGTTTGTATATGAAATCTTTAATTTGAAAAATTTATATTTACATTGTATTATGTGTGCATATGTGTGTGTGTGTGTGTTTGGTGTGTGCGTGTGAAGACAGACAGACAAACAGACAGACAGACACAGAAGCTTAGAAGCAAGCAGACAGACATATTTGTTTGTATATGTGAAAATTCAGACGTTCACCAACCGAAAACAACTGTCAATATAAATTGATATCCAAGGCTTCGTTTAAATTTAAAAATAACTATACCCATTTTAAATTGTAAGAATTGTAGACACATGAATGATTGATAGAGAAAAGGAATGAATGAGCAAAAAATGAATGAAGAATTAAATGAATGATGGACTGAACGAATGAATAAATGAATGAACGAATGTTGGAATGAACTAGCTAACAAACAAACGAATGAATGACTGACTGACTGAACGAGTGAATGCATAGATAAATAAATGAATGTATTTGTAACATTACAAGTGGAGGGCAGGCTATTGATGATAACCTGCTTCTTTCATCTTAAACAACACAAACATCATCATAAACATCAACAAACATCATCATAAACATCAACAAACATCATCATAAACATCAACAAACATCATCATAAACATCAACAAACAACCATAAAACATATGAACAACATCAAAAAACAACAACACCAGTATAAAATCTATTGTTACTTGTAACATCCGATAGTTCATCATGTCATACATTTGTCAACGATGTTGCAACGGTGGCAAGTCTATAGATTTCAAATAATTAATATATATTATATATATATAATAATAATAATAATATATTATATATATATAATAATAATATATATTATATAATAATTAATATATATATACTTTATAAAACATTAAACAATTCATGAATCGAACGGTAGAACGTTTTATTAATAAATACGTGCGTGCAGTTTAGATAAATGATAAATTTTTTAAGTTTATAAAACTTTATGCACAAACACACGCGCGCGCGTACACACGCACACACTCACACACACAATAACAGCAACAGAACACGTTGCATTAAAACTTTGCTTACTGTACATTACATGTAACAACACTTAACACGCACATAGCAAGAAACAAGAACAATAGACACTTAACACACACACACACAAACACACACACACATATATATATATATATACACACAAATACACGCACGCACATACACACACGCACACACACACGCACAACCAAACAAGGCACGCGATAGCAGTAACACTAACAATGCATCACGCTAATTTTTTCTCACGAACAAACCTTTCGAATACCATCAAACCTCGCCGTCGTCATCATCATCATCGTCGTCGTCATCATCATCATCATCATCGTCATCATTTAGCGCTTAATGTATTTATTTATTATTAGTAATTAAGTAAATTTTGGTAATACTACGGCTGAACAACATGCTCTAGGCCTTTTATTTAAAAATACTTATGTAAACATTATTATTATTATTATTATTATTATTATTATTATTATTGAATTTAATTACAAAAGCGTGATTGGTTGGACACCTCATTAGGATAATTCTTACATTGATTACGTCTTTATGTTAATCATACCTCTCTATGCCGTAACTGAACTGATTAAACCATTGATGAGAGAGAGAGAGAGAGAGAGAAAGGCAGAAAGAGAGAGTAAATAAAGATAATGAGAATGATGGAGAGAGAGAGAGAGAGAGAGAGAATGAAAGCAAGAAAAAGATAAAAACAGATAGACCAATAGAGAAAGCGAGAGAAAAAGAGAGAAATAGAGCAAAAGAGAAAGAGAGAGAAAGAGAGCAAGAGAGAAAGAGAGAGAAAGTAGGAAAAATCGTCACACATTAAATCCCCTCTTTTTTCTCCCTATCTCTCTATTTTTTACTTTTTACATATATAGACTCATATGTTATATAAATATCATACAATATATATATATATATATATATATACATGTATGGATATATTTTTATATATACACATAACATTAAATGTATTTCAATTCATTTGCGCGCAGAAGCAAAGAGCACCGATGACGACCGTAACGATTTTGTCGACAATATTATAAGCAACAACGCTGTCTTTTTGGCACGTAACGATTCGAATGTTGCAACTACCTCTGAAAACATCAACAATAACAACAACAATAACATCAAAAACAAAAACAAGAATGGTATCAACAATAACATTTTAGTGGCTAGTCTTGTTAATGTGGATAAAAACGGTAATTCATTTATTTACTTTTTTTTATTTTTTAAAAATAGTATTTTTTATTAACCACGATTTAAAATCTTTATTGATAATATTAAAATTATATAAACATTTAATATCCATATTCACTTAAAATCATTTCTTAACGTACGATAGATATGTATTATTTGTGAACATCACATCTGCAGATGTTGCTCGCTTGGGTCTGTTAGTGTTGGTTCCTCTGCGTAGTAGCTGCACATTTCAATTGATCAGCAGAGAACGTATCACAAACATGTTCTCTACTAGCATCAACAACATCAACAACAACAACTACAACAACAAAATCAACAACAACTATATCAACAACAACTACATCAACAACAACAACAACAACAACTACAACATCAGCAACAACAACATCAACAGCAAAAACATCAGCAACAACATCAACAACAACAAATATCTCAATAGTCAGCCTAATGTTAGCAGTACCGTCAGCGAAAACTACAAAATGACGTCATCAAAAGACAGCGTATCACATGACCAATTCATTTCTCCGAAGCCTAATCGAAAGAAGCAATACAAAACCATTTTTGATCTCGTCAACGAACCAGCAGCAGCAACAACAACTAACAACATCAACATCATTCACAACAACAACAACAACTTAAACAGCAAATCTTGCAACAACATAAACAAGGGCGAATTAGATGACGACCTAAGCAAACAACAACTCGTCCATTTAATGGTTCATTCCAGTTTATCGCTTTCCAAAAACTCCAACACGCTCGACTTCCTCGAAAACATAAGACCAAAAAACTACAAACGGCCCGAAAGAACAGCGCCTTCAAAAACAACACCCTACAACAACAGCAAATCGACAGCAAAATGTTCAACGAAACCCCTCCTTTCTGCGTCGACACCAACGTTGTCGGTGGATCCAACTGCGTCGCTAATGAGGCCGCCACAGACACAACCAACCACCAAATGTGGCGCAGTCAACAACAGCAGCAACATTACCAAAACGAAATCCACAAAGAAGTTTACTTTGTTGAAGTGGAGAAAATCAAAATCGAAAACATTGGAAGCAACAATGGCTGCATCGACCAACGACATTAACGCTGACCTCAACCGTCACAGCCTCAATAGCGAGCTTCACAAAGCCAAACTGTACGCCTACTTGATTGACCAAACCAACAAGACTAACACAACAACTAACGAGCCACAGCAAATATCGCCACCACAGCAAAAAGAGCAACAACAAACACCACAGCGGCCAACGTCAGTCTCAAATTTGCCGCCATCGTCTACGTCACGATTGTCTGACGTCATGGGTTCTTTGATGAATCTCAGTTCTGCAGTTTTTGATGAACAACATAAGAACGGAAACTTCACAAAGTTTGTACCTAATCAAATAAATAGAAGATTAACTGAAAATTTTGATGAGAGTGGAAGAACAGACGACAGCGCCGACTTGTTATCTAGGTCGCTTCCATTTTCATTGAATCAATATGTTATCAACGCGAGAGAAAGAAAGGCAAGTGCCGACACTCGCGATGAATCAGTACGACCAACAAGTTGTTACCTCAATGAACAAGTCAGCCACGTTGAAAACATGAAAATGTTGAAGAAGAAGGTGAGATTAGCCGGGAAAAGCCGTCACATCCTGCAGACAGCATGTGTTGAAGAAGACGAACAGATGGAAGTACATGATGAAGAATCTCAACCAGCATCACCGCTCAACCTCACATCGCCAACAGGGCATGGGGCTAAACCTTTTGCTTTGGGTGTCAAAGCTTTGAAGGGTTGTAACGTTTCTAGTTCAGCTTATGATGTCAGAGGGCAACAATTGCATCAACCGTCACATCAGTCGTCACATCAACCATCACATCAATCGCCACATCAACCACCAAATCAACCACCACACCAACCGTCACGTCAAACATTTCAGCAGCAGCTAAAACAACTGCCTCAAAAGAGGAACAAATTTTTCAAACTATTTGGCAGCTTTGTCAACATTAGCAGTGGAAACAAAGAAAATGATGCCAAAAATTGTAGCAAGAATATCAGTAAGTGCAAAAACGTAGAAATCGCTTTGGCTGATTATCCAACAGCAACCTTGTACGCTAATGTTTCAAAAGTGCGCACGAACCCTTATTGCAACATCAACAGTTACTACTCTGTCAACAGTAACAACAACAACAACAACAACAACGTAAACAACAACAACAACAAAACCAAGAAAAATGTTGACAACAGTAACAGCAGCAAAATGTTAGATTTTTGTAACACAGACCTCAACAGAGTTGTCCAACCCCTCTCAAAATCCTGCTACGATTTGAGTTACGTGCATCGCTATGAGAACATCGAATTTGACGCAGACGACAGACCCATCGTCGATATGTACAGCGTTGTAAAAACTCAAAACAACAACAAAAACAGAAGCGGCAACAACAACAACAAGCCCCGCAAGAACAACAACATCAACAGCAGCCAGAACGTCGACAACAATCTCAAAAACACGGGCAACAAATGTAGATATAGCTCAGAGCTATCAGATTACTCGAGCTTCAACAAAAACGAATTCACTCCGACATCAACAATCAACAACAACAACGGGAACTACATCATCAACAACAACAACAACAACAAACACAGCAACAAAACAACAACTAACCTCAACACTAACATCAACAAATCAGTTTTCAGCGTAAACAAACTACCAGAATCTCAAAATTGCCACAAATATCAAGAAGATGACGCGGGATATCGCTCGAAAGATGGCAGTCGGGATTTTTTAAACTGTTCGCTTGAGTGGATAGACAAACTTGAGAACGTGCCGGCTGGTAGCTCAGTGGATAGGAGGGTTATTGCATACTTGTAAGGAGTTTGAGAAGTAGGAGGTTCAATCTCGTGGAAAGAAATTATGAGAATAATGTTTGACTGCTGCTACAACCGCCACGAATTTTTTGTTTCTGTTATCTTTAATATTGAGTTCGTTATTTTCGACTGAGTTTCATTGCATTCTTATTAATATTGCTGCTACTTTCACCATCATTATATTTTCATTTTCATTGTGAGATTGTTTTTACTATTAATTTCGTTCGAATGCCATTCTGTTTTATTAACGCTGGCCGTTAGGTGTTATTTAGTAAGCCGATGATTGAATGTTGTTAGGTGCATATATTACGTTTAGTTACTTCAATATTTTCATTTTGACTACTTACCATCACGTCTTGTTATTACAATTAGACTGTTTAAACAACACAAATAAATATTTGAATTAAACTAGTTCTAGTTTTTATTCGAAATTTGATTTTAAAATTGGATTAATTTGTAAAATTGAGAGTTTAAAAATTGGAAAGGTCCGATCTGATTTAAAATTTTAGCGCAAGTGGCAGATGACTGCTGGTAAAAAAAATGCTCACCATAAATCACATTTTGTTCTGCTGATACACGTGTTGGGCAATCTATCATTCAGCTCTGACAAATGGATCGCTTTCAAACAAGGTGAGGTGTGCAATTAAAAAAGAATATCATATGAAACAAAAAATTATAATTAAATTATGATACTATTTTGTGAGTTTAGCGGAAATTAGACATTATTTTGAAAGATATTTAAGCTAATAAATAAATAAATAACAATAATAAAAAACTTTTGCCTTTTCTTTACGATCGTACTACTCTTCTCCTTCTTGTTACTTCCTTAGTCTTATCTAGGATTGATTATTATAACTCGCTCTACTATGGTCTTCCTGATTATACTCTACAACACTCTATCTTTTAAGTAAAGCTTTTAACTCAGCTGCTCGTCTAGTTGCTCGTGCCCCTTTCTTTTCACGTAAATCTCCATATCTTGTTCTCTTGCATTGGCTACCGATAAAGAATAGAATAATTTTTTAAATTTGCGCATTTATGTATAAGTCAAACTTTGTGCGTTTAGTTGAGAGTAGAGATTATTTTGAAATGAAATATAAAAACTATCCCATTTAAAATAATCGCAATAATACTAATCAAACTGGTTACTCCAAATATAGAAATCACTAATGATATTGTTTTGAAACAAGAACAGTATCTAGCACATGCATCTACACATCCTATTTCACAGACGGTCAGCTTAGCTGTGTTTGTTGTTATAAAAATAGAAAAAGTTTGTACGCGTGTGTGAGTGTGTGTGAAAGAGAGAGAGAGAGTGAGAGAGAGTGAGAGAGAGAGAGAGAGAGAGAGGAGAGAGAGAAAGAGGAAAGGAAAGAGAAAGACTTTCTATTGTATAATCATAGAATGCCATTTCAGTTGTTTCAGGATTGTTTGATGGATGGCTATTTGGAAATTGAAACTGGACTGAAAAAGAACATGGCAAGAACAAATATGGAACTGAAATATGAAACTCCAAAGAAGATAATGGAAATTTAAATGGAGTTATAGGAAAAAAGATTTCAATGTATTTGCATAAAAATTAAATAAAACCAACCATGAACGTGAATTATTAAGTCTTTTAGTTCATCCGAAGTATCGAATAACACCTAATGGAATAAACACTGAAACAATTATCATAACAAAACGATTAGACCACCAGCTGCATGTTGCTGCAGCTGCATGTTGCAGTTGCAGCAACAACAACAGCAGCAACAACCGCAATAGCAACCGCAGCAGCAGCAGAACGATCGCTAGGGCATTTTATGATTGCTTCACACTTTACACACATTCATTCAAATTCAACAGTTTTTGAAATTCCTCAACCGTAATGTGAAATAGATGGAAAAAAAAGAAATTTTCTACAATAAAAATATAAAAAGTAGTAGTAGTAGTAGTAGTAGCAGCAGCAGCAGCAGCAGTAGTAGTAGTAGTAGTTAATTGTTATGGATGATGAAATGATGATAAAGATGACGACGATGATGAATGAACAAATCACCGATTCGATCTAATTAATCATAATCTTTTTACGAAAGATTTAATCGGTATAACAGGTCTAACTTGATTATGAATGAATATTCAAGATGATGATGACGTAAATAATACAAATAAAAACAAATAAAATTAATAATAATATACAACAACAACAGCAACAACAACAACAACAACAACAACAATAATAATAATAATGGCGATGATATAGGCAAAAAATGTTGACGCTTATATCTTTAACGGTAATTTATAACTGGAACGATAAACAAACTGCATTGTTATTTTGTAGTTTTAACTGACTTCAATCACCAGCAAACTACATGTGTGGTATGTGTAAAAAACAAACACACACATATACACACACACATACAGACACTAACATATACACACACAATTGAACATACACACATAAATGAATGAATGAATCGATGAATCAACACACAAACAAACGAAAGAACGAACGAACGAACGAGCGAACGGTCGATCGAACGAACGAACAAATGAATGAATTAATGAACTCATGAATGAAATGAGTAAACGAATAATTGATTGAAAGAATGTTGGTCATGATGATGTTGATGATGACGATGGGCTTCACCAAGTTCAGTTACGACTTCTCGTTTATTAAAAATTTAAATGATGGTGAGGAAGAGTAGGAAGATGACGTTGATGAAGCTGATGATGAAGCTGATGGTGATAGAGCTACTGCTAATAATGTTGACGATAACGATGATGGTGAGGATGATAATGATGGTAAAGATGGTGGTGATGGTGATGATGGTGGTGATTATGATTATTATGGTGGTGATGGTGATTATGATGATGGTGATGATGATTATGATAATAGTGATTATGATGATGATGATAATTTTGATGATAATGATGATGGTGATGATGATGATTTTGTCCAAAAATTGTTAAAAAACAAAAAAAATAAAAAATAAAAAAAATTCAAGTAAGGCTGTCGAGTTTGTTGATATTGAACGCGATAAGTATACAGGAAGGAAAATAAATATATCATAAAATGTTTGTGATCACCATGATGATGATACTGATGATGATGACAATACTGATGATGATGACAATCATGATAATGATAAATAATGATAGTAATGATAGGATAATATGACCCTGTTTGATGATAACAATGATGATGATGATGACGATGATGATGATGATGATGATGATGATGATGATGGGGGTGGTGGTGAATGATGATGATGAAATTGGCGATGAAGAATATATAAAAAACGTGATGATAAAAATGATGATGGTGACAAAGGTTATGATGATGATGATGATGATGGAAACGATAGCGATCACCCACAGTGAAATATTGATTCCGTGGAGCCACATATTAAAAGTAACGAGAAAAACTTTATGACACACACACGCACGCACAGAGAGAGAGAGGGAGAGAGAGAAGAGAGAGAGAGACAGAGACATAAAGAGAGAGAGAGAGAGAGAAAAAAAAAGAGAGAGACACACACGCGCGCGCACACACACACAGATAAACATGCACGTTTATTTACGCATGCATACAAACAAGATTAATGTCCGAGAACCAGGAAGCAAATAATTTTGCCATGGCGGGAGATTTACCCTAAAATATGACGTCAAATTAATATTTTTAAATAATGTGAACATGATGTCATAATGTCAATGATTTGCGTGCGTGTGTGTGCATGCGTGTGTATGCGTGCGTGTGTGTACGTGCGTCCATTTTCATTTAGTCAAATTGAAATTTGCCTGCTATTTAGTATAGATGCTGTGAAGATATTTTTGCCCCAATTACGTGTTTGTTTTTATCAATTGCGAAATGTATCAAAGCCAGGAAAACTGTTTAGTCACAACGACATGCATGTACAATACGTACGGCATGTCAAGTTATTATAACTACAACTTCGAAGACTGTTGCAAGAGGAGGAATGGTTTGCCTTCACACTGAGATGTTCATTCCTTCGCAAAATTTTTTCGCCCAAAAAATAGGAAAGGAGTTTCAAATTTTATTGAAGTTGTCAATTTTGGGTCGCCGTGAAGGTGTACGTAGTTAGACAGAACGAGTGAGTAGCTACACTGCAACTTCCCAAATATTTTTGCCTGCCTATATATTTGCTTATTTTTGACTATGTTCATATATAGATGTTTGTGTGTGTGTTTTTGTGTGTGTTTGTGTGTTTTCGTGATGGTGTGTGCGTGTTTCAAATGTAAGTCTGTTTGTTTGTTTGTGTGTGTTTGTGAGAGGTTGTGTGCTTACTTGCGTATAAGTGCATACTTTTTTTTGTATAAAAACAACATTGCGAAAGTAGATTGTCGCTGCTGTTGTTGTATTGGGATGGAAGTATGCGAGAATATTTTACAAAGCGGAAATTAACTTTTTCCGATTTTGAAGTGGAGCCCTGGGAGGATTGTTGTTGTTGTTGTTGCTTTTGTTGTTGTTGGTGGTGGTGTTGTTGTTGGTGGTGGTGTTGTTGATGTTGTTGCGGTTGGTGTTGTTGTTTGTTTATTTTTTTTTATCATTCACATCAATCACATACTTTACCGTCATAGTTACAATCACTCTCATCGTCGTCATCGTCCCCATCTTCATCTTTATAAAAAATTTGCTAAAATTTATTTTTAAAATTTCACTCCGGCAGATGCAACTTCAAAAATGAATATCAAAATTCGTTTCGTTTTATTTGAAAACCAACTTTAAACAGCAGAGTTAGTGTATTTTTGATTGCATGCATATTTGTTTGTATGTTTATATTACTATATTTGTTTGTATGTTTATTTGCATGTTTGTTTGTATGTTTGTTTGTTTGCATGGAAGTTTGTATATTTGTTTACACGTCCGTTTATATTAAAGTTTGAAGTATTTTATTCTCGTCTTTATACCTATGTATATTCACTTGTGTGTTATTGGATGTTGATTGTTTGTGTGTAAAGTTTTTGTATGTTTAAATCAGTGTGCTGCGGTACGTATGTTTACTTGTATGTTGATTATATCTTCTAGGTGGATGATATTAATTTATTAAAAAATAGCAAACACAGTTTTTTTATTTTTCCAGTGCGAAAATGCATTTATTTGCCAAACAAATTTTTTTCTCGATGAGTTCACATGCCTTTGCCAGTGTCGAATTAATTGAATGGATCAAGTTTATGTAAGCAGAAATGTTCCGAAAATCACACACACACCAAACACACATACTCACGCACACACACACACATACACGCACATACACATAGACCCACAAACACACTCACACATATACACAGTTTTTCGAATGTCCGTTTTTTGTTTGTTCTTGTTGATCAGAACTAGATTGCAATCAATGTTTATTATTTTTAAAGATCAATAATTGAAATATCTTTCCATCGAAATATATTCAGACTTATTTTTA